AACTGTTAGCTAGTGACTCTATGGGAACTGTTAGCTAGTGACTCTATGGGAACTGTTAGCTAGTGTCACTCTATGGGAACTGTTAGCTAGTGTCACTCTATGGGAACTGATAGCTACTGACTCTATGGGAACTGATAGCTAGTGTCTCTATGGGAACTGTTGGCTAGTCACTCTATGGGAAATGTCAGCAAGTGTCACTCTATAGGAACTAATAGCTAGTGTCACTCTGTGGGAACTGATAGCTAGGGACTCGATGGGAATAGAAAACTAGTGACTTTAGTCACTCTCCGGGAATTGTTGGCTAGTGTCTTTATGGGAACAGGTAGTCAGTCACTGTATGGGAACTGTTCGCTAGTGACTCTATGGGAACTGGTAGCTAGTGACCCTATGGCAACTGTTAGCTAGTGTGACTCTAAAGAAATTATAAGGGAGTGACTTTGGGAACTGTTAGCTAGTGACTGTATGGGAACTAATAGCTAGTGACTCTATCGGAACTGAAAGCTAGTGACTCTATGGGAACTGATAACTAGTCACTCTGTGGGAACTGATAACTAGTCACTCTGTGGGAACTGTCAGCTTGTGACTCTATGGGAACTGATAACTAGTGTCACTCTATAGGGACTGTTAGCTAGTGACTGTAGGGGAATTGTTGGCTAATCACTCTATGGGAACTGTTAGCTAGTGACTGTATGGGAACTGTTAGTCAGTGACTCTATGGGAACTGATAGCTAGTGTCACTCTATAGGGACTGTTAGCTAGTGACTCTAGGGAAATTGTTGGCTAGTCACTCTATGGAAACTATTAGCTAGTAACTGTATGGGAACTGTTAGTCAGTGACTCTATGGGAACTGATAGCTAGTCACTCTATGGGAACTGATAGCTACTGACTCTATTGGAACTGATAGCCAGTCACTCTATGGGAACTGTTAGCTAATGTCACTCTATGAAAACGACGATCTAATACATATCTGTATCCTGTAATATATTCATAATAATACTGCTTTTATTTCTCATTGAAAATGAAAAAACACTATTTTACTACACGTAATTATATGTTTTATCTAATCGAACGTGTCCTCGTGTGTGTTAGCACTTCAAATCATAACAAATCAAATCATCTCTGCTGGCTGAGGGTCTGTGTCATTTAACAGTGCAGCCATTTTGGTAGCATTACTTTCCTAAGTGGACTCGCAGGAGAGATGACGAGACATCGCTTTAAGTGTTTGATATCAAACACATGGCCGAGGAAACACCCATGTTACATGAAGCATGGCTCTATTGAAAACAAATGTTTTTCAAAAAAGGATTAATCACATTAAATCTCAGTCCCCGGGAACCATTTGTAATTATCGAATTTCAATTTCCATAGATATCACGTGCTGTTGTTTTAAAGTGCTAGTCTTTGATAGTTACCGGCACAACTAGATCATAGTTACCGGTATCACCATATCATAGTTAAAGATATCACTATATCATAGTTACCGGTATCACCATATCATAGTTAAAGATATCACTATATCATAGTTACCGGAATCACCATATCATAGTTACCGGTATCACCTTATCATAGTTACCGGTATCACAATATCATAGTTACCGGTATCACCTTATCATAGTTACCGGTATCACAATATCATAGTTACCGGTATCACCTTATCATAGTTACCGGTATCACAATATCATAGTTGACGGTATCACTATATCATAGTTACCGGTATCACAATATCATAGTTACCGGTATCATCATATCATAGTTGCCTGTATCACCATATCATAGTTACAGGTATCACCATATCATAGTTGACGGTATCACCATATCATAGTTACCGGTATCACTATATCATAGTTACCGTTATCATCATATCATGGTTACCAGGATCTCACTATACCATAGTTACCAGGATCTCACTATACCATAGTTACCAGGGTCTCACTATTCCATGGTTACCAGGGTCAAACTATTCCATAGTTACCAGAAATTCACTATTCCATAGTTACCAGGGTCTCACTACTCTATAGTTACCAGGGTCTCACTATTCCATAGTTACCAGGGTTTCACTATTCCATAGTTACCAGGTTCTCACTATTCTATAGTTACCAGGGTCTCACTATTCCATAGTTACCAGGGTGTCACTATTCCATAGTTACCAGGGTGTCACTATTTCATAGTTACCAGGGTCTCACTATTCCATAGTTACCAGGGTGTCACTATTCCATAGTTACCAAGGTGTCACTATTTTATAGTTACCAGGGTCTCACTATTCTATAGTTACCAAGTCTCACTATTCCATAGTTACCAGGGTCTCACTATTCTATAGTTACTAGGTCTCACTATTTCATAGTTACCAGGGTGTCACTATTCCATAGTTACCTGGGTAGTAATGAAGTAATGAATGTGTCAATTTGGACCTGAATCTAGGTATTTCTATGGTGGACAGAAATTATCAATATACTCATTGGAATTATCATTGTCTGAATTAACAATTGTAGCTCTGTTGACGTCACAATACTTTACTGTTAATTCCAAGGAAAGGAAATGAATACAGTATTTCTGTCGTTTTTAGAAAGTTACTGTCATATTGTACTGATCACTCTTTTAATAAATTCTGTTCATAATCTGTTTTACATGTCTGAGTAACCAACTTGTCTTTCGTGACACATTCATCAGTATCGATCGATACTATAATGTTTCATCTGCGTTTACCATCGATCTGACTTTACGAAAACTGAATCGTCTTATGGTAATAAATATTTCATGGCTTTTCGTGTTATAGAGATATCAAATTACATATATGTATCAAGTGGAAACCACGGGAATTATTAGAAAATATCATAGGTGTGAAACAATGATTGCCTCCAGGAAGACCTTTAAATGTGTTTATACACAAAATAATGCTTCATATAACAACGCAAAACTTTTAATCTGATGAAAAAAAATATACCTACTCTCCGCACTGGTGTTAAACGGCAGGCCCTTTTATAAAATCTGCTTCATACCAAAAACAGACATCTCTCAACACTGACAGAGTTATCTCCCATTGAAATATCCATTCTCTCAACACTGACAGAGTTATCTCCCGTCAATATATCCTTTATCTACTTATTAGTTACTGAACGAGGACGTGTTGTACAATGTTAACAGTGAGCAGGTTCCGCATGAGGATCAGGAAACGCCCTGAGAGTCACATAATTTTGTGGGTCCGTGATTGTGGGTTCGTACTATCTGAGGCCAGTAAGGCGATCTGTACTCTCAACTTCTACATCATTTCTATAAACACTGTAGTAAATATACAGCCATATAAACTTAGAGGAAAAATAAAAGATTATTACATCATACTTCCTGGATGATTCAGGATGTTGGGGTTATTATACCTACTCATCTAGATTTGATATCTAGACGTCAGACCTCTGTACGCTACCCCACAGCACCTTATCAAATGGTCCAGACGTCTGTACGCTACGCCACATCACCTTATCAAATGGTCCTGAGGTTTATACGCTACCCCACAGCACCTTATCAAATGGTCCAGAGGTTTATACGCTACCCCACAGCACCTTATCAAATGTTCAAGAGGTTTGTACGCTAATCCACAGCACCTTATCAAATGGTCACGAGGTTTGTACGCTACCCCACAGCACCTTATCAAATGGTCCAGAGGTTTATACGCTACCCCCTAGCACCTTATCAAATGGTCCAGACGTCCATACGCTACGCCACATCACCTTATTAAATGGTCCAGAGGTTTATACGCTACCCCACATCACCTTATTAAATGGTCCAGAGGTTTATACGCTACCCCACAGCACCTTATCAAATGGTCCAGACGTCTGTACGCTACCCCACATCACCTTATCAAATGATCCAGACGTCTGTACGCTACCCCATATCACCTTATCAAATGGTCCAGACGTCTGTACGCTACCCCACATCACCTTATGAAATGGTCCAGAGGTTTATACGCTATCCTACAGCACCTTATCAAATGGTCCAGAGGTTTCTACGCTACCCCGCAGCAACTTATTAAATGTCTGTCCGCTTCATCAGAGCACGTTATCAAATGTTCCAGAAGTCTGTCCGCTACACCAGAGCACGCTATTAAATGGTCCAGATGTCTGTCCGCTACACCAGAGCACGCTATCAAATGGTCCAGAAGTCTGTCCGCTACACCAGAGCACGTTATCAAATGTTCCAGAAGTGTTCTGTCGACGAGAACTCCCTCAATGTTCTGACGTGACATTTGCTCATAATTTACATAACTGTTTGATAATTTGGATACTAAGGGGCTTTCATTAAAACGTAAATGTGTTTAAACTGTTAAACACCCTCAGAGGATCGACGATAATGATGACGGCGTCAACACGTTCAACTTAACACTTATATCTGAAATAAATACCATTTTTAGTAAGGTCGTCATGGTTACCAGTACGACACTGTGTGTTGGAGTTGTGGTCGTCTTTCGGTCAAAATGAGTTTGCATAATTAGAAGCCGTTCAGACTGCAGTATATCAAGAATCTTTCAACAACTTTTTACTATTTTCATTTATGGTTTCTAGTTTTGTATGTTTCTTTTTTTTTCAATATATAAACCGTAATCTATAAACTATCGCCATGGCTATTTCAACAGGTGTACAAGTAGCATCATTTATTTATTTATTTTGGGGAAAACCCCACAAATCATTTACATTAAGACCATCCTGTTTAGTATGAGTTGGTAGCTGAACGGTCATACAAACACAAGTTTATTCAATATAGCCGTTTGAATCCCCATACCGGTGTGTGTTTAGTGTAACATGGTATTGTGGTAATTCTAGACCAGATATCAGCTCCAGGTGTCCTGAACCTGAAGGTCTGACTTCACTAAGCTATCTGATGCAATTAAATTGCACAGAATATGTGTTTCTGATGTAGTCATAATACATACAAGTGATTCTGACGACTGATATTAGTGTCCTGTTTAATGTCCCAAGTCACTGTGAACTACTAAAAACAATAACAACACTTCATAAAAAAACAAATTTAATAAATGACATATCACATAACTTCAAAAGTAAAAGGTAAATTTCAAAATGGCATGTTTGAGAAATTCACATCTGCAACCTAAGTATCACTCACATGTCCGCGTGTCCATCTCACTAGTCACATTCACACTTATTTCACCACAGACTGTCACATCTTAACATGTTTTTTGTTTTACATATTTTCTACATCTTCACACATTTCAATTATCGTCCATTATCAATGTAAACATTAATTTATATCGACTTTGTAGTTCACACTTATTCTATGTTTTGGCATTTACATCCAATCCGTGTAGCTGAACACGGGGTCTGACATCAGGGTTTTCTGGACAGTTCCATGAGCATTAAAACTATATAAGTTCACTTCAATATTCTATGGTATTTCAGACTATTTTCTCGTGGAACTAGTCCATTACAATAATTGTTTTGGTCCCTGTGTTACAAACAAAACTAATCTGACATTAGTACCATGGTACCATCCGTCAGGTCAAGGGTCATCTCGATTATTATGAAACTTCATATCAATTCAAATTTTATAACAAATGTTAGCTTTGTATTTGTTTCGCCCATTGTATATACATTTACATGTATATGGCGGTGTGTTCGTCCCTATATCGTTTTTGTGTAGCAGGTAGACAGCAGAATTATCTATTGTCAGATTGTGTCTACCAGTAAATGAAAGCAGCCATGGTAGTTATTCACCGGAATACAAAACCTACATCCACTCATGCCTGTTAACAGTAGCAAAGATTCTGACATCATCTTCACAGATCATAAAAAAAAAAAAAAAAAACTCTGCTCTAGCACGTGACGTCTCTATACTATGACAGACTCACAATTGGTAAGTAATTACCAGAAACACAAAGATCTATTTTTCGCTTGTCACGTGATCTATGAAGATCTGGGGTTCTACCAAGAGAGGCTGATCACTTCCTTACATTGTTATAACTTTTTATAAAAGTGATCACACTTCAATTTTGATTCCGTAATAAAGGCGATTTGATGAGTGCATGATGTTTGATGTTTTAAAAAATTAGGATTGGGTCACTTGAATTGATAACGGCGAGACATCCTGATGTAATATTGTGATACTGATTGATGATAGCAACAAGGTGGTACGGAACGCTGAAGAGTCCAGGTAGGAAATGTGGAACACACAATAGAACTATGGTCCCCATGAATGGTTAATACACAATCTGCCAACAGAAACACATAGGAACTCACAACATACTGGAATATAAACTGTCGACTGCATTTTCCTCTTGTTTTTAGTGTCTTAGAAATAAATATCACACATCATTGCACAGAGATACATACACCATCCCAAGTAACAGGTTAAAAGTTGTCAGAGACACGCAGAAACATGGCAGCATTTACCAGATCCACACAGTAATCTGGTAACAGATACATTGTATGAGATACATACAGTAACCTAGCAACAGATATCAGATACATACAGTATCCTAGCAACAGATATCAGATGCACGCAGTAACCAAGTTATCCTTTCCACAGAGTAGTCTAGTAACAATTACATTGTATCATTTCCATACAGTAACCTGGTAACAATTATCAGATCCACACAGTAACCTGGTAACAATTACCAGATCTACAATTAACCTGGTAACATATACCAGATCTACACAGTTAACCTGTAACAGCTATCAGTTTTTTTTTCAGATCCACACAACATCCACAGTAACCTGATAACAGTTTGGTCTAGATCGCCTGCTGGGATCACTCGAATCACTAGGGACTCCATTTGTGACGTCATTTGTCCGTGAATATGGCGACACGCCAGTATGTATATAATTTTCTGTCGCTCTGTTTTCCACTTTTGGTGGGACTGGGAATATCTGTTCATAAGCTGGCGGACTAAAATTTTTCTGTGAATCGTCCTCCTCATATGGTGGTAGATGGACACCGAAAGGTAGTTCATATGTGTCTATATTATATTCCCGCGCTCGACAGCGCCGATGGTGACGTCTCGATCTCTGTAAGAAAAGCAATACCAATGTGTAGTGCGAGAAAAATCGATTTATTACATTTTGGCCAACGAAATATAGAGAAATATCTCATTGATATTACTGTTATTTTTCACTGGAAAATAACCATTTTGTGCTACTTCTAGTGAAAAAATAACACTTTTACAGATTTACACCAATGAAAACAGAGAACACAAATCATCTTATGAAATTGACAAATCATAAAGCCCGGTACAAAAACAAAACCAGAAAGCGCTGTTTACCAATAACACGACATTCAATTCCATGGTAAGCTTTCATTAACATAAAAGTCAGCAAACAATGCAGCACAAATTACTTTATCAGACATTAAACCCAACCCCAACCAAATGTCTTGAATGTGGAGCTAACACGTTAGGCATTTAAAGAGGATTCGTGTCATCAGCAGCGACAGCTGTAGGTTGCCGCCATATTTTCAGCCGCGTAGTAACTTGTCACAGGTGAAATTCTCTGAACATTTTACAAATTTTGTCTGTTAGTGACATCAATAAGTAGCATTTTCTTTGTGTATGTAAAAATTAATTGATATTGAAATTTCTTTTTGTGCTAAATCAATTTTAATTATTAAAACAAAACGAACTATATTTTGTCGCGTACTGCGAAGATATAATGAGTGAGTAATGTCCGCGAAAAGCTTAGTCAGCTTTCTCAATTTATATCTGTTCTAAATATACAAGTAATTTGGCTGTTTTGTTTGTGAAAATGAACATCTAATGGTGTGCCCAGTAATAACCAATATATATCACTCGTGTGTATAATATTTTTTGTATCTTTCACGAGTGCAAAATATAAAAATATTAGCCACACTTGTGAAAGATATTTGTTATTACTGAAGACACTATTAAAAACCTGTGATGTATCTATCATATCATAAGTAATACATTTTAATACAGAGGGATTGGATTACAGGTAAACTACTCATTTCATTTTAGCTTACTATATATTAAGCTGATCGAGGAGCAAAAATTGAAATAAATTAATAAATAAATGCAAGTTTTAAAAAAATCCGTTAATCTGATATCTCATAAACTTAAATGACGATTAATCAGCAGAAAATGACTGACTTTATGTTCAGCGGTTTCTAATCCAACATTGTGTTTCTTTTGGAAATCTACATTGAATATGATTTTTGGCTGATATGGGGTATGTAAATGGTGTTTGTGACACTGACCTTAGTACAATCTTTATTACAACTGTGTATTATACTTGTTACATCGTCACTCCCGTAACCATGCCACTTGTGTAACCCAGTCACCTGTATAACCCTGTCACCTGTAAAACCCTGTCACTTGTATAACCCTCTCACCTGTGTAATCCTCTCACATGTATAACCCTCTGCACTGTATAACCCTGTCACCTGTTTAACCCTGTCATCTGTATAACCCTGTCACCTGTGTAACCCTGCCACCTGTATAACCCTCTCATCTGTATAACTCTGCCACCTGTATAACCCTCTCGTCTGTGTAACCCTGTCATCTGTATAACCCTCTCTTCTGTGTAACCCTGTCACCTGTATAACCGTCTCGTCTGTGTAACCCTGCCACCTGTATAACCCTCTCACCTGTATAACCCTGCCACCTATATAACCCTCTTGTCTGTTTAACCCTGTCACCTGTATAACCCTCTCGTCTGTGTAATCCTGTCACCTGTGTAACCCTGTCGTCTGTGTAACCCTGTCACCTGTATAACCTTGTCATCTGTATAACCCTGTCACCTATATAACCTTACCACCTGTATAACCCTCTCGTCTGTGTAATCCTGTCACCTGTGTAACCCTGTCGTCTGTGTAACCCTGTCACCTGTATAACCCTGTCACCTGTGTAACCCTGTCACCTGTGTAACCCTGCCACCTGTATAACCCTCTTGTCTGTGTAACCCTGTCACCTGTATAACCCTCTCACCTGTGTAACCCTGTCACCTGTGTACCCCTCTCTCCTGTGTAACCCTGTCACCTGTATAACCCTCTCACCTGTGTAACCCTGTCACCTGTGTACCCCTCTCTCCTGTGTAACCCTGTCACCTGTATAACCCTGTCGTCTGTGTAACCCTGTGAAACCTCACAAATACACGACTGTGTAACTGCGGTATACTTACAGGTTTATATAAATACTCGTATGTGCCTCTTCCCTCTGCCAACTCCTGGTACTGAGATACAACACATGCAAAACAGTAGCACTGTAAGTAGAGAAATAAAAATAGGTTATTGTTCTCATAGCGACGTTTTGATTGATGGCTAGTCATCATAATAGTATCTCTGGACAGAGAACAGTCCTTACAAACATATACTAAATTAAATCCGAACAATGACTTGGATAGTCAAGACATATTCAGAAAATCGATGACAGCTCACTTCTCTAATATAAGGGGCCGAAAATTCTCTTTATTGTATCTCGGTCTACTTACATTTGCTATTAATTTAAAACAGTAGAAAAACACCCATACAATCTCCCAGGCTTGTAAAGTCTGCAAAAATAGAAATAACAGTAGGATTTAGTTCAGATATGTATTCAGTATTAAACATAAGGTCTACATTAATATTCTTAGCACACATGTTAATGCAATGTACATCGAAGGTTTGACTTATGTAAGAGAGACAACTCGTACTTAAATTAAGGATAAGATAACTCTTGCATACTTACTTTTTCCCGCTCCATGTGAACGGTGGTAAGTAAAGCTATTGCACCAGTTTCGTACAAAACATTTAATACTAGCACGTAAACCCAAGGTAACAGCAGGTATCTCTTGTCCTAGGAAAAACACAAAATGGCAGACTTCATACAACGATCACTTAAAAACAATTGATCTGACGTGTTTTCTTCTGAATTTAAAACTGTAAATTGTGCAATTATTTTGTTTTATAAAAAAAATCCGACCTGACAATAGACTAATTTGTGTTAAATACTGAAGTGTTAGGGATACTTACCAGCTGCACTCCCGGGATAAGGACGAGGGACGCTGTTATCATAAGACCATATAGTACAAACCCAGCGTACACGATACCTTTGTATTCTGTAATAAATAAACACCAGTTTAGTCAATTCTCTGTCCACAATAAATAAATAAATAAATAAATAAATAAATAAATGTTGTTTGTTGTATGCGTTGGGTGGGGGAAACGTGAATACGTCAAGTTTAATGGAGTTATTTAACACCGTTAACTATATATATATGAAGAGTTTGTCAAAATTTAGATATTCAGCACGAGTGCGAGGTGAGTGAAATATATTCAGATCTGTATGATTTTTCACGGGAAAAACCTTATTTTTTCTATTTATTTCTAGTTTACTAAATTATATCAGTCTATAGTTAAAATTCAACCCGTAGTTAACTAAGTTAACTAAATCATATCAGTCAACCTGTAGTAAAAAGTCAACCCGTAGTTAACTAAACCATGTCAGTCAACCTGTAGTAAAAAGTCAATCCGTAGTTAAAATTCAACCCGTAGTTAACTAAGTTAACTAAATCATATCAGTCAACCTGTAGTAAAAAGTCAACCCGTAGTTAAAATTCAACCTGTAGTTAACTAAGTTAACTAAACCATGTCAGTCAACCTGTAGTAAAAAGTCAATCCGTAGTTAAAATTCAATCTGTAATTAAATAACTCATATCAGTTAATATGTAGTTAAAAGTCAATCTGTTTGAAATAAATGATATAATTCAATTTGTAGCTATATAACTAATATCAGTCAATCTGTAATTCAGTAATTGATATTAGTGAAAATAACTGACGTTAAGTAAATTATATCAATCTGTGGTGAGGTCAACCACATCAGTCAGTCTGTTGGTAAATGCTTCAATTATTATTAGTAACATATATATATTAGTAGTAAATCATTCCAGTCGACCAAAGGAAAATAAACTTTAACAGAAGTGTAACAAAATTCATTTGTGTCTAGTAATTTTGGTGAAGGAGTGTGACCCAAGTAACTAACACACGCTACTGTCACACAATCGTTTGAGTGGACAGTGTATTTACACAAGTTAATCGTTCTGTTCACACGCCAGATTAAAACTTCCATTAAAACCCCTGTGACCAAAATTGACCAGCGCGCAATCGACTTACGAAAGCCAGGTCGGCATCCTTTGTACAATCAAAGAAACCGGTGGCTATTTAATTGTGTTGACATTTTTTCGGTGTGACCCATGCTGAGGAATTTAGTGTTGGTTTATAGAACACTTGATACTGTGTGTTACATCGGGATTGCATGATTAATACTATTGGTCTGCGTGATATAAACCATTAGTGTTCAAACATTGTATCATTTTCCCATGGGTCTTAGCCAGGTTTACGGGCAAATAAATAAACAATTATTTCGTCCACTACTTCACATAATCATAACCGTATTTCCCTATTTCATGTATTAGAAAATCCCAATAAAGTAACTAGAATCTCTACAACACCTTTTAACAACTGTACCAGCAGTCTTCCCACGAGTTGTTATGCTTTTTACGTTTCGTTACTCATCAATATAACAAATAATTTCGGAAAAAGAATTTGTGTCGCGTAAAAAAACACAATATCCGGCTATTAAAAAACTGCAGGTTTTCAGCTTCGATATAGTGACTGTCTCGAGTATTTCAGCAGAACAGAGGATTTCCAAACCTTGTTCAAAAGGCCGTAACACATTGTCACACGCTCGCTTTTAAATTGTACGGTAATTATTATCGAAAGCAGTGAATAGTTAAATCACCAGTGTATAATGTTACACACAAGTAAGACTTGAAAGCAAACCGCCGACATTTTTACCTGTAACCTCACGCTGAACCATGGAGATGTTTGATCACCATTAGAAGGGCCGACCCGACGCCGTACAGCTGTCACAAGAGGAACTTTCTACTTTTTACCGAACTCGCACCAAACACTGATGTAGGTTTGCTAACACTAGCAGAAATTATGTTTTCGTGATATTTAATATCAAACATAACAGTACCCTTTACATACACAATGTGACTTTACAAAACTTGATGGTCTAATTCACAAATTCTCCTAAAACCTACGGTGGTCATCATCTGGTGACATCAATTCACTACCATTTACAAACTTGAAACCATACATAAACAGGAAGCTAGGAATACAAATAAATATGAATCCAAAAAAACGGCTTTGAGCTATAAGAATTTAAAATTTCAAGCACTTGTCTAACGCGATATATAGATTTTCAGTCACCATCGTGGTTAGTGATTTGACTGCCCGTACTTGACCTGTATGGCTATAATATTCACGTGTAGAGCAAAATGCTGATCGTCAAATCATAAAGGGTACTTCTATAAACTTGTGTTGAAAGAGAAGTGACACCATATGAGAATTTCCGTCTATGTTTTCACTTATGAATGATCAGTGAAGGGAGCTTCCCTCGGCTGGTTAACGTCCCTCACCAATTTAACGTGAAATTAATGACCGGACATGAATGTGGGCGTGACTTCACATCGACGGACAGTCGAGAGTTTAAAATCTATGCGGAAAGTTCAAGGACCAGTGAGTCTTAACACCTTGACAGTATTTAATAGGTGTACGATCATAAAGATGGAAAGGGAGATATGTTCTGGTGTGGCCAAAGTACAGAAATGATCGGCAAAGTCCCTTGTAAAGACCGGTTTGTGACGGATTCGATTTACTCAATCGTTTGAGGATATTTTACAAATTTAACAACAAAATTAAAACAAATATACCATTTTGATACCGGTTAATAGTAATTCAATAAAGAGAGAACAACAAGAACATTATCTATGATCTTAGTGCTGATCAAACGAACCATTTAAACAACCCTGTAGTGTAGATTTTGAGTGTTACTCGTATCATTAATAATTAATGTATATTTTCTAGTACCATTTCTGAATCATACATAAGAATGTTAATTTATATATTACACTATACACATATATATATAATGATGCATTAAAATACTAATATGAAATAAGACGATCATGGCTGTTGATGAATTACGTGTTGGTCCTTTTGGCTGTACGTTACAATCGACCAACATCTTTTGAATCACACAGAGGATGTGGTTTAGAGACTCAGTACTTACCAGGAGAGTCTTGTATTAATTGGTACCCCACGTACCGGAACAGATAGAACACCAGACAGATCAAGGATATCACCTGTAAAACACAAACACACATTTACAAAACAGATCATTTTATCAGCAGGTAAAAGGGTCAAAACTCGTCCTATATCTCATGGAGGATTCACCAATGTCGAAGACATTCCACTTCCGGTCAATAATAAACCAACGGTTCAGATAGATGGTGTTTAGTAGTTAACAATGATATCAGAAACCCGTACATGTACATGACGTTAAATTCTCTAGCAGACGTATAAAGACATAAATAACGTGAAACTGGTCTGATTATGTAGATAAGGACAGAGGCCGGATCAACAGCATCAAGCTTTGTGATCCATTGAGGTGATGATGTGGAGAGAAATACTTTCTATTCTCATATATCTCTATGCACTGTATAGAACACTGTCTTATGTAACGGACAACATCCGGGCTCTCATCTTTGTTATTTATGGTATTGTTTTTGCGAGATTTGAACTAGATCGAGAAACCAGCTGAAGACCCGCCGACTCAGCCATGCCTAATTAATAGTCGGTACTATGCTAATGATATACTTATACATTCACTGCAAAATATACAACTGAGACATATTTTTGTTCGTAATCTCCAGACATGAACATTTAAATTTGTATACAGTAATTTACAAATGATCTGTCGTCGACGTCTTAATCGGGAATATGAGGAAACGGTACGATAAGTTTGAAGTGTATTCCGTCCAAATCGGGAACATTAGAAAACGGTACAGTTAGTCAGAATGGTTCTCCGTCTAAATCGGGAACATTAGAAAACGGTACAGTTAGTCAGAAGGGTTCTCCGTCTAAATCGGGAACATTAGAGAACGGTATGATAAGTCTGGAATGCCCTCCGTCTAAATCGGGAACATTAGAAAACGGTACGATAAGTTTGAAATGTCCTCCGTCTAAATCGGGAACATTAGAAAACGGTATGATAAGTCTAAATGCCCTCCGTCTAAATCGGGAACATTAGAAAACGGTACGATAAGTTTGAAGTGTCCTCCGTCTAAATCGGGAACATTAGAAAACGGTATGATAAGTCTGGAGTGTCTCCGTCTAAATGAATTCGATTATACTTAGTGTGCTAGACTTACGTTAACCGTAAAGTGACACTGTAATTGGGTAGAGAATTGCCACATTAAGCTGTACTTACAATAGAGACCCGTAGTTCAGGGTTAGGCTCGTCATGACTTCGAGTCATTAAGTACAAATCATTATGTCCTAACTATTCTATAATGATATTACCCTATTACCACAGTCTCGGATAATTGTCACAATTATATTGAATCTTAAAGGTGAGGTTTTAGGTAGGAATTTTAACTATCTCAAAACAAGTCCGATATATTATTTACGACATTGCAGGCTCATGTGTAGACAAAATTTTGTCGTCAGCACGTTCGTGACCAGACTATATTCTGTTGTAATCATCTGATCTCTCATTGATCTCCTACACTGAATTTACCATGACAAATTAGTCCAGTGTCCTACAAATGCCGTCCCCGTGTGAATTTCCCCGAATGAAATATTCCATCTAGAAATTAAGATACTTCGCGTATTTTTTCGAATTGTATGGCTATTGCCCAAGTGACTAAGCCATCATAAATCTTGGAAGTTAAACTTTAATCCGCCATCAATAGCAGACCATCTACCTGTCACCTTCAACAGGATGTGCTGAGTGAATGCAGAACGTGTTTCAACACAAAACAGAGTCTTCTCTACATTTCTCGTCTAAGCCTCTCTAAATGTCACGCAGAAAGGGGGTCGTTTCTTTTGGGATTAAAAGCATCTAGGGTCGCGACCTGACATTAATAAAACGACTCTGAGAAAATTATATCTAGGTTCCTGACAAAGATGACGAATCAAGAGGTCAATAAGCCATTGAAACCTCTCGACAGTATCGATGGTGGAATATCTTTATATGGCTTGGTCGTCACAGATGGCTTCCGAAGGACAACAACATATAGACAAGTGTCATCAATTTTCTTTCTTCTCCTTTTTTATAATAAAAGACAAGGTTTTCCCTGTCTGGACAGAACCATACCGAAGTATTGTCTTTAACGAAAATGTTGAGATTAACAGAGAAAATGCGAAACTGGTCAATAAACTCCCGGGATCAACTTTAGAGACTGGCAGGTTAGAGTTCAGTCAGAAAGGAGTATAGTCAGAGACTTGGGTTCATAGTTACTAGGGACTGAGAGGTTAGGGTTCACAGGCGGGAAGGTTAGAGTTCACCGGCAAGGAGGTTGGCGTTTACAAACTGGAAGTTCCTTTATTGAGATGTCGCTACTTAGGTGTATGGACACTAGATATGACAGCGTTACAGGTGTCAACAAAAATTCTAATTCTGGTTAGACTTAAAGTCGCCATCATTTATTACAATATAACGACTTCGTCCTATGATTTACCTGGTTATCCCTGTTATAATGAACCGCCTCCGGGTAGCGGGGAGAATATGTAAAATATATGTAGAGAGACATTCCACATACTTTGTACAGGTGAGCACTTCCTCTGTTACAGTATAATAGTTCAACACAACGGACAATGGAGTATTGTTTTAGTCCATAATTCTGACAATATACACTTTCAAGTTCCTGCCAAGAGTCAAAAAAATGATGAGACTAATTTACTCGGCGTATACCAAATTTGATGACCATTTTCCGTACCGTTACACTTATCTGCTGAATCTCGTCCTGAGCGTTTTGTGGTTTACTGGACAGCTTAGTGTTGGTCTCATTAAACTCATTTATTTCCAACATCAAAAGCAAAGAGCAAATTAACAAATTCCTATCGGAGTGTGTTATACTCCATTGACCGGATGTCTATAGAAAAGTTACTACCAACAAATCTGTTCCAACTACTTTAAATAAACGTTTAAGATAATGCGAGAAGATATTAAATGCTCTTTTATTGTATATACTTCGGTGGATTTTCTAGGCTTAAGATAGAAACCTTAGACGTCGACAGAACGTAGACTTTACAAGGGTCGTAAAATGGACAAGGTGAATTAGAGAAACGATGTGTCTCGAGGTCGCTTAGGCCAACCAAAATCTACACCTTCAATCTGAACTTTCACAATACAACCATCTCCGTGTTGATCAAAGGAAACCAGTCAGATATGGTCAGAATTGACACTTCTCTTACAAGTACAGCAGGTACATGGAGACCACCAGTGGGCTGTTTTATTTTCTATTTACGCTAAAACACCAGCAAAACAACTCATTCGGTCACTGACTATGGACGCGACATGTTGTTTTGGTACACAATCAGTTAATGTACGATACTTCAACTTAAAGAAAATAACAAGGCTATCCTCTGTGAAAACACTAAACTGATACACTCCAACAATAACGCTGTGGATTTAAAAGTTTCCCCTTACATAACACATACATTTAGAAACATCAACAAAGTCGGCTTAACCTCGAGTCGAAATGACCTGTAGGTTGTTAAGTCACTTGTTGGATTCCGTCATTAACCTATTGATGTAGTTTGATAGGTTACCTAACAAAACCATACCTGTATTTACATGAAAGAAAGAAATATAAAATATAAATGGAACAAACGAGATTGTAAATAGCCTTATAATCGTTGCATGATTTAATACATTTCAAACTTCAATGAAACCATCACTTAAGATAATCAGAGCTGATTTATAGACGGGATAAATAATTATATAAGGACGGTTTCCTTCGGCTGAATCGTGAAACCGAACACCAAAAAAGAATGACTCAATGTCCAGTCACGCGCTTACACATCAAAGACGATGCAATCGGACGGAGTATGTTTTGTTTAATTACAGGTGTTCGTCCTGTCACGTGACCAGACACGACCCAGTAACTTTGGTTAGCTGTCAGGTGTTTAAGGGCTAACGACCCCGGATTTACGACCGCCGTAGTGACTTTTTCACCCAACAATGATACCCTTTCCTCCTTATCTCTGTCGAGATTAAAGTCTTTTACGTACCAGAATTGTGTATGTATTAATCACATATTTGTGGGGTCCAGTACTCTGTCTATGATACATCGTGCCTATTCATCAGTGCCATACAGAAAGTTATGGAACCCCATCACTGTCTTATGAGTTTTAATGTAATGTGTTGAATAGGCTAACATTCAGCGTAAATTTTAACATATCGTTGTACAAAGATGGCTAGTGGTCAAGACACACATTCATCCTGTGCCAAGAGATGACCAGTGGTGGAAGATAATCCTATGTCCCGAGATAGCCCAGCGTTGTGCGATGTCAACACATACATGTAACTAACTCCCGTGATAAAGTTCCACTTTCTCTCGCCATTTAACAAGCACATTCGTCCTCGTAGACAAACAAACGTTGGCTTATGTCAATAACGACAACCAAAAGCTAGTTGGGACCGACACAAATGGTCACATACAGAATATTTGTGTAGATTAACAAGGTTAGTGTTGATACTGCTAAGGAGTATTGTCCCTAAGTTGACATCTTTATCCAATGTGTAAGGTGTCAAACTTAGCCCCAATTAGCTAGGATGATGTTCCAGGCGACATAACCACAACACAAATATTCTGTTTGCGCGTGGTCACGGACAAATACTTTCGAAACACAGGAACTTTGCATAAATTCTCGACCCCGCGATCTTTACTTGTGAGATGTATCGGCATGAACTACGGGTTGGGAATTCGTGCGAATTTGGAGATTCTTACTTAGTACAAAGAAAAGAATATTTGCATTAAACAATTTAGATGTTTCTAGTAGAATGTGACTTTGTAGTAATATTGGATAAGGGTCTTTGAATTGAATTTGTAACAGAATTTGATACTGTACATTTGTCTGTCTCGTTGGAGGAGTTACAGGAGATATGCTGTATTACATTTCTAACGATTCTATATGTTCGTGAACTCGGTCTCTGATCGCCGCCAGTTTCCCATTAACGCAGAAATATATCCCCCAATAACTTCCCTGCACCAGAACGTCATGCAAACTTGGGATCGAGAAAAATCCATTTCTGAATCACAATGGTCACAGTGTTGACTAAACAGGTTAGTTTCTGACAAGCATGTATGAATCATTCTTATAAAATGTATCAAACTGCTCTAGATGTGAAATCTTTAAATATCACGATTAGATCTTGGGGATATGGCTCTGCCGATAAACATCACAAACTCGCCACTTAAACGGATTTGTAAAGAAACCCGATCAAGGCCCCTCAATGATCGGTGCCCGTGGGGCAGGGACAAAGGTCACATGTCACTGCTGAACGATTCGTGACACTGGATACTGCTTTGTTATAGTTTTTATGTAACATGAGCTGACACAGGCTTCATTCTGACGGTATAATTAGTTAATTGTATCCTGCACGTGTAAAAATTGATAAGTGTTGTTGTTGGAAGGGGGGGGGGGGAGGGAGTTGTTGCTGGTGAGCTGGTGAAATTCTAGACACGAGTTATATAACAGTTATCAGTTTACTTCCTCATTATATCGACGGTCTCATACGGATAACAACCCTTGCAAGCATCCTACTGAAACTAGATTTTTCCCAACATGTTTTAATTCCCATCATTATCTTTCAATTATCCATTAGTTGTGTGATATAAGCACGCTATCTAATCGTGGACATTATAAAGTTCTATTTATAAAATTCCGTCTACTTTCTAAAAGATGGGGGTGAATTTCTAGCTTGTTTCTAGCTAAATAAACGATAAAACACAACCTTGTCTGACTAATCATACAAAAACGTGCAAGATTGTGGACGTCACTTCGGAATGGACAGAGACGTGCTATAATAATTTAGATCAATTAGAAATTTGTCACTAGGATAGATATGACTGAGTGGACTAGAACGTATTAATTATAAATCTCGGAGACGTCTTCGTGGCCACTGGTCACTTAGCCTGCAGATACAGATTATGATTGACAGACCAAACTTACCATAATCACACGAAAACGTTACGTATCAAAAGTGACAGGTACCCAGCACAGGTGTCATATACAACTGATAACGGGGCCTAGGGTTGTGTAATAACTTCTAATCTCTGTAATTCTACAGATTCCCAGGGGCAGACAAGATAAGGTGTCAAGCTACTGATCAAGTGATAACATAATATTGTGATATCTGTATCTCACGTGTAATGATTAACCCCTTGTGTTATTGCGGGTAGGAGCACGCGCCTCACGTGATTACGTTGTAACGTCATTTAAACAAGTGTCGTCTAAAACATTTCAAAGTTTTTCTATGAAATTAAAAAATACTTCTTCAAACTTAGCGGACAATGCCGACTTCAGGTTATTTGACAGAAATCTAAAAACTAAATACATCAGATTTTCTTTAAACAAGTATTATCATCAAAGTATATAATGTAGAAAGTCTCTAGTCACTCAGATAGCGGTTATAGTGTGTTTGGTGGTTATTACTGGCCCATCCTGACTTAATTTGGACAATATCGAATTCCTCTCGACACCCTCTAACTGACACCTCTTTGATTTGAATAACCATCCGTACAGCTTCCCGTTGTGAAGCTGGCACGTATTGACCAGAGGCCAGCCTGGTGGACACCAAATGTCTTCCACAATGAGATGTCAGCGAAGTCGACCCCTCAAACACGCCCCTGGAATGTTGTCGATTCGGCAAATGATTAACAAGTTGTGATTGTTAAGTTAATACACGTCTAATATGCGAGATGTTGGAGAGGTGTGTGGGGACTACCAGGTCACAGCTTTATTATTTTTTTTTATATAAAATTAAGGTTAACAACTAGTTTCTGGTACAACAGCATTCTTTTTGAGGAAAGAGTAACAGGGAGAAAATTGGTAGAACATTTAAGGCATGGACCAAATTTCTAGAATGGAGTCTTACAACAGCCGTGTAGAATGAGTAACTCGCTAGATAATTAAATGAATTTCAAAGCATTTACCTGAGAGTGTACTAGCATAGGAAACCTGAAACAATGCCACGAGCGGTGTCTGTTCAAACCCAATCTTAGATGCATTATTGTTCAATAAAGTTCACGTTTGACAAGTTAGGATTCAGAAGCCGTTGGCGATACACCACTAGCTGGCCTTGAAGAACTGGTTGTGTTTTTCATTAGTTTACTAGACCATCGTTTCAAGATACGGTCAATGTAAGCATTCTCCTACAAACAGAAACAGCTGATTTTCAGCTTCTGTCGAACAACCATTACACTACGTGTGAGTAGGTAGCGGGTGATACAGCTCCATGGCGCTGATTTAAGTTATTACGATACAAACTCCCTATAATATTGTAACCGTGTAAATTGCACCGCGTTTTTTTTTTTTTTTTTTGAGAAATTAGTTGCGTCTTTAAACAATGAAGAACAGTTCCCCACCATCTAAACTTTACCAAAATTCAAACGGTTAAAACACATGGTAGTAGTATCGGTTTTCAGAGTTACCGGAAATTATTCAAGGTGGCTTCAATGAATTCATCTTTGTCCACTTCGGATCCTGATAATTAGGCCGGGCCTTTCTGGCCCCGAAGGAGATGTGCTAACCACAATTGTGATGCATTTGAGGGTCCCCCAAATAGCTATGAAATGCCTGTAAATCATTGGGCGATTAAATTGCTATCAGATCTGGGCAGTGCTAAACTGATCGACTGACAGGCTGTGATCGACAGCCCATCCTCTCCTTTGTGGGACCCGTACGATACTGTAATGAACATTGACATATATCGCAAAGCAAAGTAGGACCAGATGTGGAATAGAGCATCAGGAACTTCCGGTTTCATCTAATTAAGACTCGGTAATGACCAACAGAGTTCCCTGATGTATTGGCCCTTGAGTGGTCGTGTATCGATCGAGTGTCCAGTGATCAACTCCCTGAAGTTTTGATAAAAGCGCAGTTATTCGTTCTCTGGTCAAACATTTTCAAAGACCAAGACATAAATTCGGCAGTGCCGCCAAACGTTATGACAGACGGGACACGTTTACGACTAAGTTAAAACCTTGGCCTCAGCTGCTGACTGCAGTTTATTGGCAAGTCGGTGTATAAAAATGCAATATGTGCGATCATATCTCTGTGTGATATCTTTATAATGGGACACAATGGATATCAACAGTGGGCACATACTAATAACCTAGAGGGGAAAATAATACTTCGAGAAATTACAAAGGAAAAACGGCAATTTCACGAACACAAAAAAATCCTTATTGCCGATGTAAAAAGTACACATACATAAAGTATATATAGATGTTGACGAATTTCACGTCGACATTCTACACATGTAGTGAATACCATTTCCAAATTTCCAAAAATTTGGTGTGCGTATATAACAATATTTGTTTTCATTGTTGTAACCGAAATACATACCAGGGAAATAATGCTTGTTATATTGGTTCTAAACGACATGAAATATGTCACAAAGATTAAATAGTCTGTGTACTAAGCCTTAATATGTCATCTACAGACAAGGAAATAAACAGAAGACAGGTTCAACAGGTTTAAATATCTATATAACTTATACCTAATAATCTATGTACGTAATTCTCATCCAACTAACATTTGTTTGTCTAGATCTAGTACCAATAGTGGACCATACAGCAAATAATACTGTACATGTGTATATAATCATATTTATATGAAATCTTTTGAAACAATGGGGTTGTGTGTGGGGAGGTGGGGGGAGGGGTAACATACACGAGACCATAATCTCGATCAGTAATGACCCACATTCATGGTAATTACCTATATTGTATAATATCCTGTTCAGAGCAAATTAATCGTTGCAGTTCAGACCGAAGGCTTTGATAAGAAACAGTACTAAATTCTACTTGTACCTGTCTGGACAATGTCAACACACAAGGGTTAGTGATGTCACACCAACAATCCAGTAACTTACCAAACTATAACATCCACATATCAGAGTTCCCACTCGGGTATTTGAGAAACACAGAAAAGTCTTGAGGATGGCCATTTCGTCTGCCGTATGGAGGATCAGCGTCCTTTTGGCCTGTCAAGGTATAGATTCCCACACGGCTATCTCTGTGTTACCTGCACGCCATGTCAACTAGCTCGCCATTACAAATTTATACAGGTGAAAACCTAGCTCGCCATTACAGATTAACACAGGTGTGAATTCAGTCACTGCTTAAATATCACTGTAAACGACCACAATGCTGTAGGTAAAATCACTAATTTTTATCCCTGGTGGTTGTACGAGTCCCTTTGTGAAGACATACTGGAATGAAAGCAGTGAGTACGTCCGTCTTATACTGTGTGTGGTTTGTGTGTGTGTACCAGTACATACGACATACCGCACAGAGTCCGTGACTCACTCGCTCAGTCAGACAAGCGGTATGAAAGGCGTCCAACCGGGGATAAAATGTAGTATTCAAACACGATAGCACACCATCAACAGTAATAAGCTTGTACTAACTTTCTGCCCGCTCACTAACGATTATCGAAATTCGACCAATATTAGTCAACTCTCCAGCTTATATATATCTTGTGAACATCTTTGACTTCAGAAATGACACATGCCTGAGGGTTGTGACTGAAACCAAAACAAGCCCAATGGGGAAAAAAAGCTAAGGCTAATGTTTTCCTGATACAGACGTGATAGGGACTGATGCTTTCTAACATTTCACGATTGGATTTATTGGCGGATTGCATGAAATGAAAACCTATAGATCAACTTCTCCGAGACGTGGGATCTGCCTGTCAATGAGAGCTTTAAACACAAGTACGACAGGAATGCGGTAACTCCCTGTCACAATATTAGCACTGGTAATTGGTAGAGGTACTAGTTGTGGTTTACTTACCCATTGTTGGTAGATTTGTCAATATTTGAAAGGACAAGTTACTATTCAGAGTACATTGTTGGGTACTAATGTTTCATACAGACACGTCACGGATTAAGTTAAACCGGAAATTGACTCCCCCCTATATTTTAGACACTCCCCTCCAACACGTTAGACATAAGTCTCTACAAACTATTTATTAACAGGTGATACTACAAGTGACTGTCACCATGTCGTAGTAACCTTATGAAATTTCATTTAAGTAAAAAGAAATCAATGTCCAATACGATGCATGGTTTGGAAAATAAAGGAATCGAATTACTCGGTACCAGATTATATTGTATCTACGTATATTTTTAATTAGTGTATAAAGTTATCCGAGTTCAGTATTCGCCAGAAATCACAAACTATTACACTACCACACCGTCCGTCCGTCTGTCCGTCCTTTTTTTTTTTTTTTTTTAATAAAATACGATTAAATCGGAATTTATAAAAGTGTGATGAAATCCAGCCTTTATTTAAAGCGCCTGGGAATTATGATCAACACAAGATTTCAAAGTTTAGTTTGCACCCAGTCACACTAATGTGTGAAACAACTTAACAAGTCACAATAGTTAACAGTTTCATACAGATCTGAGAGCTATGTTGTCTCTAGAACACGGAGGGGAAACTCAGTCTAGTGATCCTATTTATATTACAAAGAGTTAATAACCATCGGAATTAACTCATACTAGGATACCAAGTAATTAATTTGGTATGAATTTTCTGTTATTTATTTGCATCTCTGGATTTTTGCAAAGAAATAATGACGTTTGTCTCCGATATCATTTATACAAAGGGGACACAATCCATTTTTACCGGTTTAAAATTTGAAGTTCTCAATTTGCACAAAATATTTCTTTGTTTTTGACACTTACCTTTTTACATACTCCTCACAATCAATAGTTTCTTTGAACAGGACTTATACATTTTTCTCAGATGAGTTATTTTTATTGATCTACTTTTGAATAAAATTTTGTAGTAAAGTAGCGTTCAACTTTGATTTGTCTATACAAAGTCTATACAAGTGTAAAGGGACTGACATGGTTAGATATTAATTTCATAACTGTTAAAAAAAAGTAATTTAACATTTTAATATTTTTTAAAAATAGTGTACTTTCTGTTAATTATGATATTTCAAAGTTTGCCTAACAATTTAATTAACAACACAAAAAAATTGAAATAAAATAGGAGCGATCCAACACTAATTCGTATCATTATCGTTCGGAGAGTGCGCATGCAATCTTAGATTAAGATTAATTAAAATCCATTTATTTCGCTCTGTCACGCGTATAGCATGAAACAAGAGGTAATTTTACAAAGTAAGAATTGAAACATGGTTGGCAAATTAAAATTAAGTTAATAAAATCGTACCATTTAGTCCTTTAAAGTTTTTAAAGTTCAACCACTAAATTCTACAATATTGCCTTTGTGTAACTTATATTAGGTTATACAATATTCCAGATAGTTCTCCTTGGCAGTTCTGTGTCAAAAAGTGATTATTCTCACTTATATCTCATTAAGCAGACAAGATCTTCCAGATTCCCCGTAAACCGTATAAGATGCCGTACTTTTCATTACATTTAACGCACGTCTACAAAATTGCAGGGTTGTTCTTTCAACCACACTTATATTTTCAAATTCCTTACCTCACAGGTCTATTGGTAGCTTTATATTTCTTATTTTACGCTAAATTGACTTAAGTTTTTAAGCCTGTACACGAAGTTGTTTCTTAGTGCTTACAAAATGTCCATTAAAGTTTTGAAAATAATCTCCAAGATGTGCGAACAAGTCTTGAATTTCTAGTTCATTTCCATCAATTCTCAAATGAACATCCCCATTTTTCGTTCTGTTTTCGTTTTTTTTTTCTTTTTTTTTTATTTGCTATTTCCTCTATTTTGTTTTCGTTTTTTTTCTTTTTTTTTCATTTGCTATTTCCTCTATTTTGTTTTCGTTTTTTTTGTTTGTATTTTTCTTTGTTTTTTGTTTTGTTAATTTTGTCACAAGTTTTGTTTTTGATTTTTGAGAATCTCGCAATCTTTTTTTTTGAACTCGACTTACCAGTTAATCTTCATTGATTACACTAAGATTTAACATAACTAATGTGTTTTCCAACCCTTAAGGGGATTCTGATAGAATATCAGTGTCACTTGTATAGAGTATAACAAACAGCTAAACAACTATACCAACGTGTTCGGGGCTAATTCACCCTCATAGGATAGCCTGTTTGCTTTGTTTTCTTCAAGAAATGTTTCTAAGTCATTAAAGTACAATGAAAATAAGACACTTGATATTTTTTGGCCTTGTTTTGAACCAATAATAGATAACATGTGGGTCATCATCTCCTTCTCACTCTAAACACAAGAGGTTTGTATTAGCGTGACCATTTTCCGTTCGATAATACTTCTTATAACTTTTGACCCAAGATTATTTCTTCTGACTGAGTCTAACGCCTTTTGAAGACAAATATATTTTTTGCCCGTTGATATATATAGAGTAATAAGGACATGTAAGACAGCAGAGTGTAGTAGAGTGATCCCTGCTAAAACCAACATTGGCGATTGTAACCAATTTTATTCTATCTACTAATGTATTCTGTCGACTGTTTAATATGGACGTGAATCTCTAACAAGACATGATACTGATGTGATGACGAGATAGTTCTCCAAGGACCAAAATAAGTTTGATTACACCTGTAATCCAGGAATCTGATACAATGGTACACCATTCACTTTATCACCATCTTCTTCATGGTGATGTAAGCCTGGTCTAACAAACCCATCATTTTCCTCTGATAAAGTTGTATTAAAATAGTTGTACAGCTCATTCATCTCAAAATCTATACTTTATGTTTTTACACCACCTATATTATCAATAATTTCTGTGTTGTTATGATTTTCTGATTTTTAAGTATTCCCTAGACAACACTGAAGGAAATATTTCTCTCCTCTCTATACAATTTATTTACATTCTTCAGATACTTATCATTCCTTAAATTTTCAGGATTCTTTTACGTTTTCTAAGCGTTATACCTTAATGTTCTCTCTGCATTATTTTTTTTATAAACCAAGGTTTATTGGTAATCCCATATATGGTACTTTCTTCCTTGTTTAGGTCTTACGCCACCAAACAGATGTTTGCTGACAACACAAAAATGAGCCAGAATTTGTGATGTTAACATTACCGCGACTTATCACGTCTGAAGGTGATTCCCTCAAGATGTCTACACTGTTATTTATTTTCTCTGCTTTGTTTGTGTTACCATACAGTATGTCTTTAACAAATTCAGATGTCTTGCTGTCTTACAACATTTTAAAGAGGTACGCCAGTGTGTGTAAGAGACTGAGTGCATCATTTGTAAATGAGAATAACTTATGAATGTCAGAAATAAGTGGACCGAAGTCCAATATTTCAAAAGTATTGATATATTCAAACACTTGTAGTGTTATCAACAAGACTTAAAACATTTACCAAATTCACTTGTTTCTACCGTATCTACATACATATTTAGATTGTTACAAAGTTCTATCAATCTGTTGCCAAAGTGATTGGGTCTATCAGTACGTTAATTTTGAAAGTTCTATCAATCTGTTGCCAAAGTGATTGGGTCTATCAGTATGTTAATTTTGAAAGTTCTATCAATCTGTTGCCAAAGTGATTGGGTCTATCAGTACGTTAATTTTGAAAGTTCTATCAATCTGTTGCCAAAGTGATTGGGTCTATCAGTACGTTAATTTTGAAAGTTCTATCAATCTGTTGCCAAAGTGATTGGGTCTATCAGTACGTTAATTTTGAAAGTTCTATCAATCTGTTGCCAAAGTGATTGGGTCTATCAGTACGTTAATTTTGAAAGTTCTATCAATCTGTTGCCAAAGTGATTGGGTCTATCAGTACGTTAATCAAAAAAGTTCTATCAATCTGTTGCCAAAGTGATTGGGTCTATCAGTATGTTAATTTTGAAAGTTCTATCAATCTGTTGCCAAAGTGATTGGGTCTATCAGTATGTTAATTTTGAAAGTTCTATCAATCTGTTGCCAAAGTGATTGGGTCTATCAGTACGTTAATCAAAAAAGTTCTATCAATCTGTTGCCAAAGTGATTGGGTCTATCAGTATGTTCACTGTGTCTATTTAAGGGTATATTTAATTGTCGTTCATTTCGTGGTTATTCATTACATCAACCATATTTATCGAATTTTTGTCTGACAAAATAAAATCACGATTATATTTTGTTCATGCAGTAAAATCATCATGCAATGAAACTATGTGGTTGTTGCTATATAATTTTAATATTCATTCCCAATTTCATTAAATGCCTTACTTCCTGGCCTCAGGAGGTGCATATACACACCGAGTGATTAATGCTTCTGAGTAATTTCTCAGCTTTACCTATTGTACATATGCTGATTTAGTGCGAATTTTTTTTTTATGTATGATTAAATTGTTTCCTTATAAATAA